ACCACGCTTCAACATGGACAAGGAGGGCTAACACTACTGGTTGGGGCCCCATTCTAAATAGATCATCTCGATCCAAAAAACCATATGATACAATTTTTTTCATGCTGTCTACTTTCCTTAATGAATCTCAAATGAGACTTTATACGACTTTATTCTTGAGAGTTTCGGCAAGCAAGAAGAAATCTGTTCCTCACCAGCTGTGAACTCCCTGATGCAGACTCCATGTCTGATGGTGCTCCTATCCCTTTCATCTTTCAGGCATCACCAACCGCCCCCCTCCGCCCCCGCCCCAGCCTAGCCTGGCCTTTCCACTCAATACACATCCGACAAAGAAACAGATGAGTTTTTATAATATATATCCTATAGTAACTCATCCAGTAGTAGTTCTGCTAAAACAGACACCACTTTATTGATTTTTATTTTTGGCAGAGAAACTCTGTTTCTGTAATTAGCATGTAATAGTAACAGTCTTGTTTAATATCCAACTATTTCCCACAGATGATTAATCACAAGTAACACTGCCAAAACAGGATCTCTTAAAAATGTGCAAAGAGGAGGACCGAAGAGGGCGGTAGAGGAAGACCACCCCTGGCTCACCTCCTCCATGGACACAGCAGATAACAGGTACATCTGTGTGACTAACCCTAAATAGGACCTGACGACGGCAGAACGGATCTTGCAGCTAATCACAGCAGAGGCAACACTGGAAAGGGGAGGAGGAACAGAGCTGTGGTTGGGAACCAAACCCCGAGTGACACTGACCACAGGAGAGAGCAGGGAGAAGGGAGATCACACCGGACACCAGATACCCCAGCACCGGGAACACAAGCACCCACTGCATCTGGCCTTGAAAACTAGCGACGCTTAACTTAGGGCGCTTTTAAAATCAGCGGGGCTTAACTCTGGGTACCTTAAAAATCAGTGGGATTAACTCCAGGAGAGCAAGAGGACATAGGAAACTGAGTCCCCACCCTTAAAGAGCCAACATATTAAACAGCTCCACCCAAGCACAGCACAACACCAGGAGCTTGAGAAGTGCCCACGGAATATGCGCAGGAGATTTACTTACGAATCTCAAACGTGCACTAGAGGGGCAGGGGTCTTCAGAAGACCCCTCCGGAGAACAAAGCGCTGGCAAACACCATTTCTCATCCCCGCTCTTGGCCTAGCTAGCCGGACTTTTGCGGGAACCAGCACTAACGCTCCCCACCTGTCTAGCTAGTGCCGTACCCCGTCCCCTCGTGTGCTCCTGTGGACTGGCCCCATCTAACCTGCCCGCCGTGGCAGGCATCCCTCCAAAGCGGCTCCTGCCCTGCCACACACTGCAAGCAGCCCTGGCAGGGCTCGGGGCCACTCCAAAAGTGCCACCTGCCCCGGGGAGAGGGAGAGGAAAGCCCACGCAGCACGGCGTCCAGCTGCAGTAGCTGAGCCTTTTCGCTGGCTACGCAGGGACAGAGCCTTGCCATTCAGTGGGCCCGCAGCTGCGGCAGAGGCTGACTGCAAACACCTAGTCTGATCACTGACTTTACCCACCTACAAGCCCAGGTAGTCCTCAGACGGGCACCTCAACAGCACAAGGACCAAACCCCGTCCAGCACACCCACAGCACACGAAAGTGGGTCACTGCAGCTGACTGGGCTGAAGACAAACGTGGCTCGGCCACGACGGCACGGTGCATGCCGTCCACATAGGAGATGCCCCTGGAGCACCTGCTTCTGGTGCCCAGGGCGCACTGTGCTACAGGGCACCACATGACCTCTTCTATGCAAGGCCACTACTTTCGAGGCCGGGAGACGTAGCCGACTTCCCTAATACACAGAAACAAAGTTAGACAGAAACAAAGTCAGAAGTGTGTCCCAAATGAAAGAACAAGACAAAAATCACAGCAAAAGAGCTAAATGAGCGAAGATAAGCAAAATGCCTGATAAAAAAATAAAAAGAATGGTCATAAAGATACTGGACTTGAAAAAAGAATGGATAAGCTAAGAACTTCAACAAAGAGAAAATGTAACACAGAACCAGAGATGGGGAACTCAATAAGTAGAATTAAAAAAACACACTAGAGGGAACAACAGCAGATCAGGGGAGGCAGAAGAATGGATCAGTGATCCAGAAGACGGGGCAATGGAAAGCAATTAAGCTGAGCAGCAAAACAAAAAAAGAATAAAAAATGAGAGTACGTTAAGGAACTCAGAGACATCATCAACTGTATTAACAACTGCATCGTAGGGATCCTAGGAGGAGAAAATATAAAAAGGCAGAACTCTTATTTGAAGAAATAACAGCTGAAACACCTTCCCTAACCCAGAAAAGGAAAGAGACATCTGGATCCAGAAAGCACAGAAAACCCCTAACAAGATTAACCCAAGGATGTCCACACCAAGGCGTAAAAAAAGTAACAATAAGGAGAGAATTTTAAAAGTAGCATGAGAAAACACAGTTACATACAAGGGAAATCCCATAAGGCTTTGGCAGATACATTCAAAGTGCTGAAAGGAAAAAAACCTGCAAGCAGGAATACTATCCAGCAGGATTTTTATTCAGAATTGAAGATGAGATGAGGAGTTTCCCCAAACAAACATTAAAAGAGATCATCGCCACTAAAACATCCTTATAGGAAGTGTTAAAGGGACTTGAGGGGAAAGGAAAGGCCATAACTAGAAGAAGTTATGAAAGGAAAAAAAACTTCACAGATAAAAGCAAACTTCTAATAAATGTAGATTAATCATTTAAGAAAGTATGGAGGTTTAAATACAAAAGTAGTAAAATCAATTATATGTACCAAACTCAGCCAAGGGATTTCACATTTTACAACGTAAAAAGATGTAAAATATGATATCACATACATAAGACATGGACAGGGTAAGTAAAAATTTAGTGCTTTTAGAAGATGTTCAAACTTAAGCAACCATAACTTCATACAGACTTCTATTCACATTAAGATATACATGAACCTAATGGTAACCACAAATCAAAAACCTGTAACAGATATACAACAAATAAAGATAAAGAAATTCAAGCATAATACTAAAGAAAGCCATCAAACCACAAGGGAAGAGAGCAAGAGAAGAAGAAAGGAATAGAGAACTATAAAAACATACTGTGTATGTGCATTACACCATACACAAAAATAAACTTAAAATAAACTAAAAACCTAAATGTGAGCCCAAAACCATAAAACCCCTAGAAGACAACATAGGCAATAATCTCTCTGACACAGCCATATTTTTCTACATATGACTCCAGAGGCAAGGGAAACAAAAGCAAAAATAAACTATCGGGACTACACCAAAATGAAAAGCTTTTGCACAGCAAAGGAAACCATCAACAAAACAAAAAGCAACCTATTAAATGGGAGAAGATATTCGCAAATGACAGATCTGATAAAGGGTTAGTATCCAAGTTATACAAAGAACTTACGCAACTCAACACCAAAGAATTCAATTAAAAAAAAATGCACAGAGGACTTGAGTAAACATTTTTTCCAAAGACGACATCCAGATGGCCAACAGACACATGAAAAGAGGCTCAACATCCCTAATCATCAAGAAAATGCAAATCAAAACCACAATGAGACATCACCTTGTATCTGTCAGAATGGCTAGAATCAAAAAGACACGAAATAACAAATGTGGGTGAGATTGCGGAGAATAAGGAACCCTTGTGCCTTGTTGGGAGAAATGTAAATTGGTGCAACTACCGTGGAAAACAATTTGGACATTTTTCAAAGACTTAAAAATAGAAATACCATATGATCCAGTAATATGACTACTAGTATTTACCCAAAAAAACACAAGAACACTAATTTGAAAAGATATATACACCCCTATTTATAGCAGTTATTATTTACAACAACCAAGATATGGCAGTAATCCAAGTGTCCATTTATAGATGAACGGATAAAGAAGATGTGGTACATATGCATGCATGTATACATACACACACACACACACACACACGCACACACGCACACACACAAGGAATATTACTCAGCCATAAAATAAGAATGAGATCTTGCCTTTTGTAATAACATGGATGGACCTAGAGTATATATGCTAAGTGAAATATGTCAGGGAAAGACAAATACCATGATTTCAATTACATATAGAATCTAAAGAACAAAACAAACGAACAAATAAGACACAAAGAAACAAACAAACCTAAAACCAGACTTAACCACAGAGAACAAACTGGTGGTTGCCAGAGGGAAGGGGGGTGAGAAGATGGGTAAAATAAATACAACTTCCAGTTATAAAATAAATAAGACATTGAGCACCTGGGTGTCTCAGTCAATTGAGAATCCAATTCTTGATTTCAGCTCAGGCTGTGATCTCACAGTTTGTGGGATCGAGCCCCGTGTCAGGCTGACAGTGTGGAACCTGCTTGGGATTCTCTTTCTCCCTCTCCCACTCGCATGTGCACGCTCTCTGTCTCTGTCTCTGTCTCTCTCTCTCACACATACACACAAACACACACACACACACACACGATCTCTCTCTCAAAATAAATATATTTTTATTTACTGTGTGAGCACTGAGGAATGTAGAAGATTGTTGGATCAATATGTTGTACAACTGAAACTGACATAACACTGTATGTTAATTGCACTTCAAATAAAAAAAAAAAGGTGGAAAAAAAATTCATGATAAAAAATGTTTGAGGTAACTTGAATTTAGAAATCTATGCAGAAATCACAAAACGAATACTGATTTCTTTTTCTGAAGATGAAGTGACCATACAACTTATCTTCCATCCTAGAATACTTTTAAGAGTATGAGGTGATAATACCACCACCACCAGGTCAGCATGGGTAAACGTAGACATTTGGTCACTGTAAAAGGGAGAAAAGGTAGGACAAGAACTATTCACACAGTGTGATTTTTCTTATTCAGGAGAGATAAACAGTACAGTTTGCATGGAAGTGAAGATCAGATCCTAGAGATAATTTCCTATGACACATTCTCAGATGAACAAAGATTTACAAATAAACAGAAACTCACCTCTGGTTTAGGGACAAAAGCCCGACCCGGAATGGTCAAGATGTGCTGAACGTTGCAGAGGTACTGGGCCATAACAGAAAGGCGACTGCGCTGTTTGCTTCCTGTACTGGCTGTAAGTCTCTATGGGACAAAAAGAATTTTTAGCAAATAATTAATCCAGTCTGATTAGACGGAATGCAGCCAACATCCTATTATCTATGGACACTAGATGGAGTGTTGAGATAAATTTTAAAACTGTAGGCTGTCTGACACATGATACACAGGCAGCATGGGGAACATTTTCCTCCAATATCAGCAGAAGCGAACCTAGGAAATGTGAATTATATCCTATATAATGCACTCAAAAATCCAGTAAGAAAACTTCCCTATCACTGGATGCTGGGGATTTTCAAACCACTGTTACATTATGTAGGAGAAGGTCCTATATGAAACAAATATCAGTCTATATTTGCTGAATGAAGAAATTAGGAAGCATAATTAAGAACTAAAAAGACTTATTTAATTTTATGAATTACCAAAATGTATGAAGGAACATTTTCAACAGTGTGCTTTTCTTTATTTAAATCTAATAAAACTTAGGGTCGCCTGGGTGGCCCAGTCGGTTAAGCTGCCGACTTCGGCTCAGGTCATGATCCCACGGTCTAGGAGTGCAAGCCCTACATCAGGCTCAGTGCTGACAGCTCAGAGCCCGGAGTCTGCTTCAGATTCTGTGTCTCCAGGTCTCTCTGCCCCTCTCCCATTTACACTCTGTCTCTTTCGCTCTCAAACATAAACATTAAAAAAATCTTTTAATCTAATAAAACTTTGAATATTCAGAACTCTTGGAGAGTGTTCTTTTGTTTTTGCAAAAACCAGGAATTTCATCTTTTAAGAACCTAAACAATTTTAAAACCAGGTGTATCTAAATTTTTTTTTTAATGTTTTATTTATTTTTGAGACAGAGAATGAGCAGGGGAAGGGCAGAGAGAGAGGGAGACACAGAATCCGAAGCAGGCTCCAGGCTCTGAGCTGTCAGCACAGAGCCCAACGCGGGGCTTGAACTCAGTAACCGCGAGATCATGACCTGAGCCGAAGTCGGACGCTTAACCGACTGAGCCACCCAGGCGCCCCAAAACCAGGTATATCTAAATTAACTCATAATTGCAATGCAATTTCAACCAAAATCTCAAAGGATGTTTGGAAGGAAATTTACATTAAATTCCCTAAAATTTTATATGGAAAGACAAAGGGCCCAGGGTAGCCAGAAAGCTCCTGAAGAACATCAACGTGGGGCAGGCTGGGGCAGACTCACCCCACCAGACATCAAAATTAAGGCCAAGTATGGCATTGCTCTAGGCACAGACCAACAGAACAACGGCCTTGGAAACAGACCCAAGCACATGTGGATGTTTGCCGTGTGACAGATGTAAGGCAGCAACCACTAATAGAAGAAGGATGGACCACTCAATCTGTGATATTGGTAGAAGTAGGTATATCTACAGGAGAAAAGAGTAACTCCCCATCTCGTACCATAACCAAAAATAAATTCCAAGTGCATTAACAAAAAATAAAGAGCAAAACTTTAAAATTTTTATAAGTATTTATTACTCCATGCTAGGCAAAAATTTCTTGAAGATGCAAAAGCAAAAGCCGTAAGAGACTGATCTGTTATCTATTAAAATTTAAAACTTCCATAATAAAAAAACACTATAAACATAAGTCACAGAGAGAAGGTATTTGAAACTCCTTTGACAAAGGATTAGTGTTCAAAACATAGGAGAACTCCTACACATCAGTAACCGAAAGATAAACAATAGAAAATATGCTAAGAAATACACTAAGAGCACCCAAATGAACCATAACCATGAACTATGCTCAACCACATTACAAATTAAGGACATACACATTTCAGCTATAATGAGATAAGCTTTCCTATCCACGAAATGAACAAAATTTCAACAACAACAAAAAGAGCCTGGCAGAACCTAGAATTGGTGAATATATGGAGCCTGAGGAACCCCCACCTAACGCTAGGGAGAACGGGTACAAGCACTCTGCATTACAATTTGGCAAAATATACAGGAGAGCCGAAGCTGAGTACACCCTCATGACCCTTTAGGTCTACCTTCAGGACGTGTCCTAGAGAACAGTACATATACTTCCACAAGGAAATACCGTGGAAGAATGTTCCCTACCACATCATACATGCATAGCGTCAAAAATGGCGAGAAAAACATAAAGGCCCGTCAACAGGAATGAACAAGCAAACTGTGGTAATTTTGACAATGGAACACTAAGTAACAGTTAAAATGAGTAAGAAGGTGTTACCAGCACAGATCCCAAAATAGAGCAGAAAATAATGAAGTGGCAGAAAACATGTGGAGTATGACTCCATGTATATAAAAACTTTAAAACATTACCCGTCATTGTTTCCTGTGTGTGAACATATATGTACTGCAAAACACATGCATGGGAATGATGAGTATCAATTTTGAGTACAACTCACAGGAGAGAAAGAAAGGGGGCAAAAGAGGGTTTTAAGCATATCTGTAACATTTTATTTCTTAAAAAAAAAGACATAAAATATGGCAATGTTAAGATTAGACATAACTGAGTGGAGGATGAAAAAAAATGAGGCACACTGACTTTTAAAAAATGTATCCTGCTTCTCTATGTTCTTAGAGTTTACTGGATACTCTGAGCCTCTTCTAAGTGATACAGGGTCAGCCTTACAAACGCCAATGGCTGCTGGATTAATCGCGGAGTTGAGCACGTTGGCCGTGTGCCACACCACTAAATGAATGTTTACCGCACTGCATTTTGTCTTCCTGCTTCACTGTCATGTGCAGATCCCTAAAATTCCCTATTATTTGCTACTTTGGACCTGTTTGGACACGAAAACCACATAATTTGGCTCGCAAGAGCTTTGCCTTACGTAGGTTTTAAAACTGAGATGCTCGGGGCGCCTGGGTGGCTCGGTCGGTTAAGCATCCAACTTTGGTTCAAGTCATGATCTCACAGTTCGTGGGTTCGAGGCCTACCTCAAGCTCTGTGCTGTCACCCGGGAACCTGCTTCAGATGCTGTGTCTCCCTCTCTCTGCCCCTCCCCTGCTTGTGCTCTGTCTCACTCAGGAAAATAAACGAACGTTAAAAAAAAAAATTATCTGAGATGCTCAGAAAATTTCCTGTGGGGAAAGTAATAGATTTCGTAGCATCTGTTTTGTTACTCAGAAGCCATCCCTCCACCTCATCCCTCTTTTTAAATTACCTGGCTCTGGTCTATATTTAGACAGTTGAAGTGACTGGGAGGCCCAGTTCAGGATAAGTGATAGGCTGCTACAATATAAATGACAAAGTAAATTGTTCCTTAGTAAACTGTAAAACCAAGAAATGCAGATATTCAAGCAAAAAAAAAAAAAAAAAAAAAAAAAAAAAAAAAAAAAAAAAAAAAAAAGACAAACACCAGAAGCCCGTATTTAAAGAATAAACTTATGGATCAAAGGGTCAAAAATATTTCTAGTTCCTCACGAATTTCTTTTAGAGCTTAAATGTACCATTGCCACAAAAGTAAAAACTTCAAAGTGCACTGTGCAACTGGCACAATTCAAAGCAGTTGTGTAAAACTAAAATCTAGCGTGAACTTAATCCCAAAATAAAAAAAAAAATTTTTTTTAAGTAGAAAAATTAGGCTTATTCTTGGGAAGCTACACAGCCAAATATCAGGGACACTGAAAACGACATACTTCCTGGCAAGGTAACTCCCTCCCTCCCTGCTAGGGATGGACCATTAAGCGGCAGGGGCCCCTGAAGATGGGAGGAGAGCAACAAGCTGATCCTGGACCCAGAAAGGAAAGACCACAGGTCCGGTCACACGGAGAACTTAAACATCATGACTGCAGCAGAAAACACACGACCTGGGTTCAAGTTCAGCTTTCCCTGTAACTAGCTCCGTGACTTTCTGCCAGACCTTAACTTATGTTGAGCCTCAGTTTCATCATCTATGAAATGAGGTTAGATGAGATTTGTTAAGGTCTCATTTACTGCTACACAGTCTGATTCTATTTTATGAGCTGGAACTTTATACTGTCTATATGTTCTTTAATGTGTGCGAGCTGAATTCTTAGCTTTAGACCCTGCAGACCTGGAGAGAAGAGGACTGTGCTCAGTTGCTTCTGCTCTACAACTCAACAAAGCCAAGCAAAGTTAATGCCTAATGAGCGCTATCTGTGGAATATAAAATCACAAATATGACACTGTCAAGAGCAAACAGAGGGTATATGAGAAAATACTGCTCGCCATATATTGTCCTGTTTAGACTTTCACTCGCAAAATGTGAAAATTGGTCAGAGGACCAGTGTTAACCATGCTTCTGGAGCATTCCATAAATTATAGACTCAATGTAAACTCTTCTTGATACCCGTACTAAAATTTAACTAAAATCAACATTTTTTTTCTGGTTAAAGAAAAAATAATTGCATATGCTGAAGTTAAAGCAACACTGTTATTAATAATCACAACTGACATTCTGAGTCACTGAAAATATTCCTCCACCTCTTAAGCCTCTGTTCCTTTGCATTTTCCCCCAAAAGAATTAGAGTACATAGTGTTTTGCATCTCTATTGTGTTATTCAAGAACAGAAATACCATAATAATCATGTCATCTGAGAAAATAAAAGTCCAAGAACAAATCAAAAGGCTGAGAAAACAAGAAAACTATTAATATATGCTCAACTCAAACACACAGAAGAGAGTTAGAATCATAAGCCGGGAATGACATGGGCCTTAGGAAAGTAGTGATGCCTTACAGTTCCTAACAAACACAAAAGGGCCCAAGTTTTTGGGATGGAAAATTCTAAGATGGCTGAGAAAAAGATTTTATGGCTAAATACCCTAAAGCAAAGGTTCCTATCCTCGGCATTGCTGACGTTTTCGGCTGGTAAATGTGGAGCGATTCTCTGTTGTTGGGGCTATCTTGCGCACTGAAGGATGTCTACCGGCTTCCCTAACCTCTACCCACTAGACACCAAAAGCACCCCCCAGTTGCGACAACCAAAAATATCTCCAGACGGGCAGAAGTGAGGAACACGGCAAAGCGGGAGGATCCTGAGCTCACTCCCGTGAACATAGCACAGCTTCAGCTG